ATATATATGAATAAATAAATATAGTATTAGAGCGTGTGTAAATATAAAAGTGATCCGTATATATATAAATAGCCGAGAAAAATAACAGCACTCGTGGCCTGATGATTGCATATAGCATGAAACAGACAGTCGCTTCTAAGTGTTGACTTCTATGTTCTTATATATATATATATATATATATATATATATATATATATATATATGTTGTGTATTTGGCCAGCAATTCCTCTTTCATACAAGTTTCATTAAGAGCAACTGAGAAGTTACATGTTGAAGTTTTTTTTATTTAATTTTTCTCCTGTTCTTATAATTTTCCTCTTTTCTGGATATAAATTATTTTTCCAGATGGTCGTATCTCTGATCGCTTTCAGCTATACTTTCAGCCATTATCAAGGATTATTTTATTTTAACTTTTAACTGAATGTATGGATTGTTTTATGTATATTATTGGAATGTTTTATTTTGAAAACAATGTAGGCGGGTTCATAGTTGATATTATTGTGTGTTGGATTTTCCTTTTTTATTCTTAATGCTTCCATTATTTTTAAACGTTCTTTACATGTGGATGAGGCTATTATATTTTGTATTATCAACGATTATTTTGCAGATGTAGTTTGTTAGGTCTCCATGTTTATTTAAATGAGACCTAATTGTACTATCGTCAGAGTAATGTAATGTGAGTCTTCTTGTTAGGCATGTTGTAGTATAGCCAATATAATTATTTAGGAACTTGAATTGATCAGAAACACAGTTCCTTAACAGACATTTGGACAATTTCTTCATAATTTACGTTTAGAAAAGAAGAAAATTATAAGAACATAAGAAAATTAAATAAAATCTTAACTGCAGTAACTTGTTAGTCATTTTTGATAAAACACACACACACACATAAATATATATATATATATATATATATATATATATATATATATATATATATATATATATATAAAAATGACAATTGGAAAAAATTTTGCTTACGCGTTTCGTCTTCCGTGTTTTTCAAGGCAAAAATGAAATTGAAATGTTTTTGTTGTTATAGTTACATTAAAAATCCAAATTTAAAAAGGTAGACGCTTCTGTCTAAGCCTTTTTTCTGGTTAAAGTAAACTACATTTATAGTAAGGTATTTTTTCCCATGTCGACAATATATATATATATATATATATATATATATATATATATATATATATATATATATATATATATAGTTAAATTCCCAGATCATTTCTGTGGACAAGATAAGTTGGTATAACAACAAAAGCATTTCGATTTCATTTTTGCCTTGAAAAAGTCGGAATACGAAACGCGTCGGCAAAATCTAAGATCTTTTTCCAATTGTCATTTTATACCAATTTGTCTTGTCCACAGAATTGATCTGGGAATTTTATATATATATATAAATATATATATATATATATAGTTTATGAAAAACTAGGTAATCCGTAAGGGTAAACCTAAGTAGGATAAAATCCAGAGAGCTCAATGTAAATCCAGAGCCAATAATTTAAATAAAAACAGACCACTTTAAGGTTCCATGTAATAAATTATTTAACCACAGCCCTTTTATATATATATATGTGTGTGTGTGTGTATGAGTGTGTGTGCGATGCAATATATACATATATAATACTTACCTAAGCCGACGACTAAAAGAAACCATAGCGATGATGAAAGCATTTTGTATAAACCTTGTTGGTCACTTGAATGACTTTGTTTGCACTTTAAACCCCCCCCCAAAACAAGCAAACACGATGATTTTACGGGGATTTAAGCTGACTTCTTCTTCTTCTTCTTCTTCTTCTTCTTCTTCTTCTTCTTCTTCTTCTTCTTCTTCTCCAAATTATCGATAGGAATTTTATCTTTGATTAGCGACCTCTTTATTAATATGTTTACCTAATTTGTGAAAAGTGCATCTTTGTGAGAACCAAATTATGTCTCTGCTTTGATTAGACAACACCAATAATAATAATAATAAAAAAACAGGGCCTACTGGTTGGGAAAATCGGCAGATGGGCAGTTACCTTTTTTTTAACAAGGACACCAGATTTTTTCTTTTGATAGTCAACAGTGAATTCATTATGAAACATTTGCACGCATGTGTAGAAAAATCCACGTGGCCAGGAATCTGTTCGAAATCTATTCCTAGCTACCTTAAAAGCCGCCCTATTGAGCGGCATTTAAGCTAGCTCCTGTGGAGGACTCTTGGTGTGGCCATCATCACAATATCGAGGGAGGAGTAGATGCGATAGGCATCAATAAACTGCAGAAGAACTCAAAATTGATCGCTGCATTTAAGTATTGAATTAAAGCTCACCTTTTAAAAGTTCAACGATAATTCTTATGCAGACACTTAATCTAAAGACCTTTAACTTAGCCTGAAGAGACACATTTATGGTGTCGTAACATAATTGTAACTGTGTAGCGATTTTTAACATGTTTTAATATCCTAAAATAAATAATATTTAGCACTACTAGGTCTTGAGCTCTCTTTTACGTTAAATGAACAGTGGAATCATATTCCATTTGTTCTCATTTTACCTGCATATATATTAGGTCTTCCTTAAATACGCAACTTATATATATTAGGTCTTATATAATACGCAACTTTTATATATCAGGTCTTATATAATACGCAACCTATATATATATTAGGTCTTATATAATACGCAACTTTTATATATTAGGTCTTATATAATACGTAACTTTTATATATTAGGTCTTATATAATACGCAACTTTTATATATCAGGTCTTATATAATACGCAACCTATATATATATTAGGTCTTATATAATACGCAACTTTTATATATTAGGTCTTATATAATACGTAACTTTTATATATTAGGTCTTATATAATACGCAACTTTTATATACTAAGTCTTATATAATACGCCACTTTTATATATTAGGTTTTATATAATACGCAACTTTTATATATTAGGTCTTATATATTACGCAACTTTTATATACTAGCTCTTATATAATACGCAACTTTTATATATTAGCTCTTATATAATACGTAACTTTTATATAATATGTCTTATATAATACGCAACTTATATATATTAGGTCTTATATAATACGCAACTTATATATATTAGGTCTTATATAATACGCCACTTTGATATATTAGGTCTTATATAATACTTAACTTTTATATATTAGGTCTTATATAATACGCAACTTTTATATATTAGGTCTTATATAATACTTAACTTATATATATATTAGGTCTTATATAATACTTAACTTTTATATATTAGGTCTTATATAATACGCAACTTATATATATTATGTCTTATATCATACGCAACCTTTATATATTAGGTCTTATATAGTACGCAACTTATATATCTATTAGGTCTTCCTTAAATATGCATTTTTACTAATTTAATTTTTGTATGAATGATTCATTGTAATATAAGTTAAACTGCACCACATATTTGATTTAAAAGAACTGATCCGACGTGCAAATTTTCGGGATCACAACTGAGACATTACTCTATTTATTGAACAATTTGATTCATGCCATGTTGACTGATAAACTCCTAGAACAAAAAAATCTTAGATTGCCATATTAGTAAAAAACATACTCACTTAAATTTTCAAAAACATTCAACCTTAGCGTTGCGACTGCACACTGCAAAAGTTTGTATCCGTTATCAATAACACATTTAAAAAAAACATATTTCGATTCGCATTTAATTTTTTCGTCTCGGATGCTACCTGAATTTTACCAAAAACAAAATAATTCCCTGATGATGACTGAACGTACAGTCGAAAGTACTTGCGTATTTAAAGACCTAATACAGTTACCCCACCCCCCAAAAAAACCAAGGATCATAACATTCATCGAATGATTAGTAGGTCAATGTATCTTTAAAATTTAGTTAGCGAAGTGATTTCAACATTTTATAAAATTAACTTTACTAATTTACTTTTTTTGTACAAATGATTCATGGTAAAATATATATATATATATATATATATATATATATATATATATATATATATATATATATATTATGAAGAACAGACACTTTAAGGTACCATTACAATAATTTATTTCACCAAAATCCTTTTTAAAGGGATGATCCGAAATCCTTTAAAAAGGATTTTGGTGAAATAAATTATTGTAATGGTAATAAAGTGTCTGTTGTTCATTAAATATTAGCTCTGTTCTTCACATTGAGCTCTCAGGATTTCATCCTCTTTGGAATTACCAATTCGGTTTACCAAATTCTTCATAACTTAGATATATATATATATATATATATATATATATATATATATATATATATATATATTCGATAGGGTAGGTTGATTTTTCACTCTTTGTAGAAAATCAACATTGCTCTTGATGTGAAAGCAGTGGTTTTATGTAGTAAGTATTGAAACCAAAAATGAAATTCATGTCTTTTACCAATTTCTGGTCTGGGCACCTCGAGGTGGTGTAATGGTCAGCAAGCTTGTCTCGCTAGAACAATTACGACTGAGTAGTGAGTTCGATCCTCACTGGGTACCCCACACTTTCAGCCTTGTGCCACATCTGAGCTACGCTTGGAAATTTACACAGTCAGTAGTTCACGAACGGCTGATCGGTTGAACTCTCTGCCTTCGGGCGGGGAGGAACCCGAACGAGGCTACGCCGAAGGGCGGATTCTCTTTCGGGGAGGTAAACCGACCCAGAACCCGTTTATACGGGTTCAATGGGCATATTTTTGGCCGAGACCACGGGCTCGGAGATCCCACATTAAATCGGCCTTGTGACACATGATGCCCACGATGGTGGTGGTGGGGGGACTAAATATAGTCTTTTACCAATTTAAAATTTTTTTAAAATGTTACTATTTCGAAAATAAATTCAAATAAAGTTGATATCTTTTATTAAACACATTGAATAGGAAATGTATTCAAACCAAATTTTTTAATTATGAATCAAAAGAAAAATATGCAACTGTATACAATAAGTAAAAACGGTGTAAGAAAAATTGTAAAAGATTACAAAAAAAAAAAAACCCCAAAAAACAAAAGGCTACTCGAGGAATAAAATTTGTTCGATCATAATTAATAAAAACAAAAATTAGATAAAAGTGTATATAACACCATAATACTACTGGGTACAAATTATAAGACAAAATGTTTAAAATTTACATTGTTTATTGAAACTCACACTAAAACTACTGCAGTGTATAACATATTCCATCATAATATACCTAAATTGTCCAGTATAACATCCCTTTGAAATAAATGAAGGTCCTATTTGATGACACAATGATTTAGTAATAATGTGCTTGTGCCTTGTATCTTGTCCATATACAATTTGTAAAGCTTCGGTAAATTCTAAATTTTATAAGGTTGTGCTATAAGACTTTCACTGATCACTGGAATGAAATTCCAACGCTACGATTTTGGATCTGAATTTAATCTTTAAACTTATTTTCTCAAAAAAACGGTAAGGATTTGTAAAAAAATATTTTGTTTTTATTTATCATGTCAAACCCCAACTTTCAAATTGGAGTACAATACCATGCTGCAAAATCAACCTGCCCTTCAGCAATAGTGTAAGTGTGACTCTAAATTTTATCCAAAGCTTCACCTTTTGGTTGTAATCGAGAAAGATGTTCCTCTGCAAATCCCTTCAGTACAAGGTTGGGTGCCACCATTCTCACAATTGAATCTACTTTGTCTCTGCTAATTTCATAAATTTGAAAGAGAATTGGTCAATTGGATATGATTCTTCAAACAGTCTGACATTCCAATGAGTGTCCCGAGGGTAAGACAATAAAATTACCCCACTTCTTGATGTTATCTTGCCGAGCCATAATGATTGATCAATATAATTTCCCTTTGAAGCAAATGAAGGTTTTATTTAATAGCACAATGATTTACTAATGGTTTTGAACCTGAACTTAATCTTTAAACCTGTTTCCATCAATGTTTTGTTTTTGTTCAGGAGCTTTTTCAAAATCAATCCTAACTTTGAGGACAAAACTATCAGAGAAATAGTAATGGATATTTTTAACTAATTGTTAGTTTACAAAACTATCTAGCTTATGGAGTCTGTAAATTTAAATGCCTGGAAGGAAGGAGACCTCAACTTGCAACTTCATAATAATGAGAACAAATATGGATTGTTTCTCGCTAGCATATTCCATTGTAATATTTACTTCTTCCTTGTTTAGTGAATTTCATTGAAGATAAGGATGAAATTTAGTGGCAAAGGTGAGCTTTGGTGATAATATGGTTGTACTTTTTCTTTTTTCATGATTTCCATCCATTTTTTTGTTGTTGTTCAGGAGCTTTTTCAAAATTCTTGAACAATTCTTTCCAATTTTTAAAATTTTTTTAATCATTTCATCCCAAGCAAGGCAATAAAGCCACTAAGACACAGGCCGTTACTGTGTGTTACAGAATACGAGAGAAAAAAAAACATTATTAAGGAGAGAAGACAATAAATTAAGAAAACGGTAATTGCAGATACTTCTTTGGATTTTATCAAGAATCTCTAAATATATAACAGGAGCACCAGAACTGTATGTGGCAGCAATATTCAAATGTCTACTACTTCAGTAAGGCAGATTGATTTTTTTAACTCTTTTTAGAAAATCAACATTGCACTCGATGTGAAAGCTGGTGTTTTATGTGACAATTATTACGACCAAAAATTAGATTCATAGTTTTCCCGAATTTTTGAGCATTTAATTTTAAAAATCGTCTAAAACTTGTACACAAATACTTGATTTCTGTAGGTTTTTGCTTACAAACTGAGTTGAAAATTTTACCATTTCAAGAATAAATCTAAATAAAGTTGATATCTTTTATTAGACACATTGAATATGAAATGTATTCAAACAAGATTTCTAATTATGAATCACAACAAGCAAAATATGCAACTGTATTCGATAAATAAAAATGAGGTAAAAAAAGTGTAAAAGATTAAAAAAAGGCTACTCAAGGAATAAGATTTATCAGATCATGTATTAGATCATCATACATATTATAAAACCCAGGTTGTGTGTGTGTGTGTGTGTGTGTGTACGTTTATATATTGGATCGGATTTCCTACATTTTTCAACCGATTTCAACAAAACTTCACAGGACTACGTAAAATTACCTTGCGGTGGTTCTGACAGCGCCAAAAATTGGAAAAACACAATTGTTTTTGCACAAAATCAATTTGAAAACACGATTAAGAGGCATCGCTGTTGCGATAATGAAAGGGGGACAACTCATATCGAGTTATACTTATTATAAAACCCAGGTTGTCTGTGTGTGTGTGTGTGTTTGTGTGTGTGTGTTCGTTTATATATGGGATCGGATTTCCTACATTTTTCAACCGATTTAAAAAAAACTTCACTTTTTTTTGGCAGGTAGTGTTTCTTATTGTCTTGCACACTTTTTTCTTTATTTTTTACATTCAGAATGCTTTAAAAATTCCATTTCCAAGACAATCGTTTATAATAAAATTCTATTCAATCGGTAGACTCATAATGATTGAAATCAATGTTTTTGTTTCAGTTTGGGTTTGACCAATTTGTAAAAAAAAAAAACTAATTAAGACATGCGTGTCCGTCAACCTTAAACAATAATCTTTGTCAATTTTATTTTTCAGTCTTTATGATGGTCGATACTTGATCTATCTAGCTCTACTGCTAGTAATTAATAAAAGCAAAAATTAGATAAAAGTGTATATAACACTATAATACTACTGGGTACAAATTATAAGACAAAATGTTTTAAATTTACATTGTTTGTTGAAACTCATACTAAAACTACTGCAGTGTATATATTCTATCATAATATAGCTAAATTGTTCAATATAATTTCCCTTTGAAATAAATGAAGGTCCTATTGGATGACACAACGATTTAGTAATAATGTCCTTGTGCCATACATCATATCCATATACAATTTGTAAAGCTTCATCACATTATAAATTTTATAAGGCTGTGCTATAAGGCGTTCGCTGATCACCGGAATAAAATTCCAACGCCATGATTTTGAATCTAAACTTAACCTTTAAACTGGTTTCCTCAAAAAATGGTGACGATTTGGAAAATATTTTGCGTCGTTATTTATCATGTGAAATCCCAACTTTTAAGTTGAGTGCAATGCCAGGTTAACCAAAATCGACCTGTCCTAATATACATGCATGTGTTCAGCTGCAATTTTCTGCGAGTCGGCTACCAGGTGACCCTTTAGGGTTACGGAAGCTATATGTTTTACCTGCTGCTGGTCTACGAGGGAACATGGTAAATATTCGCCTCGTTATCGTTTCTTTGAATTTATTCTAAATTGTTGCTGTTTCTGTTTGTTTTCTTTCTTTCAAATGCCTTTTGTTTGTTCAATTATCTTTTGAGATATATATCTGTTATTTTTTTTCCAGTCTTCACGGTGTATTTCCTAAATAAAAAAATAACATCTGTATGAAGCGTTGGTCTTATTTCTTGAAATCAGTCATCAGTTACATCTTTGTAATGAGGGGATTTTCAAACACTCCATTTGAAATCGTATAGATATATCATTTAGTTCTTAATTTTCGTAGTGCTCTGGTTGTTTATTTGGCGTTCATATACATCACGTATATAATACGTTAAAGATACCCTTTCTCTGCCGTGCTCCGATAGCATGTCTTTGACTGATGCCAAATTGGTCAAATTTACGACGTTGGGTTTATAGGTTTAATAAAAAATGGAGGAAGATGATGTTTAGGTTTAATAGAAATGGAGGAAGAGGATGTGAAGAAGAAGAAGAAGAAGAAGAAGAAGGAGGAGAAGAAGAAGAAGGCAGAAGAAGAAGAAGGAGGAGGAGGAGGAGAAGAAGAAGAAGGAGGAGGAGAAGAAGAAGAAGGCGGAAGAAGAAGAAGAAGGAGGAGGAGAAGAAGAAGAAGGCAGAAGAAGGAGGAGGAGAAGAAGAAGAAGAGGGCGGAAGAAGAAGAAGGCGGAAGAAGAAGAAGAAGAAGAAGAGGAAGAAGGAGGAGGAGGAGGAGGAGGGGAAGAAGGCGGAAGAAGAAGAAGAAGAAGAAGGAGGAGGAGGAAGAAAAGAAGAAGAAGAAGAAGAAGAAGAAGAAGAAGAAGAAGAAAAGAAGAAGAAAAGCAAGTGTGTTGTAACCTAGCCTCATATGCATTTAAGAAAAAATTATTGATATATAAACAAGGACTTAAGACTTCGGATGTTAAGTTTAAAAAAGAATCAAAGCTTAAACCAGAAATCCGAACTCTTAAGTCCTTGCTTATATTAGAACATTTTTCTTAAGTCCATATGAGGCTGGATAAAAAAGTAATTTAAACCCCCACCAATACATTTACAATACACTTACTTGTCTTCTCTACCTCTTTCTTCTTCTTCTTCTTCTTCTTCTTCTTCTTCTTCTTCTTCTTCTTCTTCTTCTTCTTCTTCTTCACATCCTCCTCACCCTTTCTATTACACCCAACGTCGTGCGTTTGTTTATTTATTTTTGAAAATGTATCGTTCTTTTTCTCAAAAAAAAACGTTAAGAGGTCATTTGATAAAAATCACCTGAGGATACCGTAAGGTTGAAACCAAGGTAGCAGATTCAACTGACCTCCTGGTTTTTGAAGTCTATCTATCTATCTATCTATATATATATATATATATATATATATATATATACGGCTCCTCGACTTACGTCGAAGATCCGTTCCTACGTTGCGACGTAACCTGATTTTCGCCGTAGGTTGGAACTCACTTACATAAGCACCCACGACGAGTCTGCTTTACGTTTGACAGCCATAATGATGGCAAAAATCCCCCGACCAAAATAAACAACACAAACGAGAGATAGCGAATGTAGCACAATCAAATATGGCGAACAGCCGGTGAAGAAACAACACCGTCTTTCTCAAATAATGTTCCTTTGTAACGACGTATTATATTATGGGAGATGGCGCCGTAGCCACGAGATGCCAGACGTTGGGACCGACGTAACCCGAAAACCTTCTGTATATATATATATATATATATATATATATATATATATATATATATATATGGAAAGATGTATGACAAAAGAGTAAAATTTTCGTGTGATGCGAAACGTGTCACACGAAAACTTTGAGGTCTCTTAGGACTTAATCGATCTACGTTTATTTACGCTGCTTCTTTTTGATAAAATCCGTTCATACTTACATATCTGACCATTCGTCCATTGCGAGACATCTACACCAACACTCCTGTCCACATCCACTATATAAAAAAATACTGATCGACCACACACGTATCCTACACCAAGAAAGCAACAAATTCAAACTACAGATCCTTGAAGGAATCTACATTAAAAAATAAAGCCAACACTTAATAGAATCAGCTACGAATACTGTAGTAATTTTTCTGAAATTCCTATAAAAGAAACAGTTTGTCACGCTTTAATGCACGTATGACCATAACGTTTACATTACAACAAGAAGAAAAAATTCCATAGTGGATCATTTTTTTCACGTTCTAATGAATGCTAAGCATGACTGTCAACCGTTGCATTTAAAAGCAAAAAGAAAAAAAATCCAATAATGGATAGCAACACACAGTTTTATTTTACTACTTGCACCCCTGAACATGATCTCAGAAGAAGATCGAAAGTACTTGGGAAATGGGAAATAAAAACGATTTTTATAGTTATAGCACATTTGTCACCTCATTTAATTGCAATACACGGAAGTTTATCCGTGAGTATAAGCAGACATAATGTCTGTAATTTATTTAATCAGACATGGCGAAAAAGAGAATTTGATATATATATATATATATATATATATATATATATATATATATATATATATATATATACTCAGTAATCTTAAATATTTTAAACATTCTAATATTGAATTATAGGTAATTTGACTTTTGTTAGAAGAAATAATTTTAAATTTACTGTAGTTACCATTCTTATTTTCTGATAATGTCATATGCATTTGTCCGTATTTACAAAAATTGGCACGTTTATACATATACAAAAACATTAAAAATTATTTTTAAAATACTGTGTGTGACTGTCCTGTTTTTTGAATGTCTCCGTTCACCGTTCGGAATATGGTGGTTCTTGGATGATCTCTGAACTTTTTAAAGTCAGTCTTTTCAAAGTAAAACTCCGTGTCTTAGTTAGCTGAGCATTTTGGATCCATTCATAAAATATGTCCAAGAAGTCTTTCTAAGTATGCAAAAACCTTAAATAAATAGTTACTGCATTGCAGTAACTGAAGCAGCCATTACCTACTCCGTGAAACTAATATAACTAATATATTAGCCTTTATAACTAATATAAACTATTAAGCTTTACAAAAAAGAAATAAAAATTTAGAAGGAGGGGGTACCTGTGTTTCATAGATTCTGCAAAAGTCTTTGATAAAGTACATCACAATGAACTGTTGGCTAACCTTGACATATTTGGAAAAGATATTAAAATAATCCAGAACCTATTCTGTGAGCAAAAGCCCTGAATCATCCTCAAAATTGTTTCGATTTGAGGTCATGAATTAACATATTCTCTCATCTTCAGTGACATTGTCTACTGATTCGACAATATTTTACCAGCCTTCTCTGTCCTCTGCAAGTTTGCTGATTTGTTGCAGATCTTCCTTGATTGTAAACTTCTCCAAAGGAAAGGTGGGATCTTTCTGCCCTGTTCTTTGAATGTCTCCATTCAGCGTTGTGACTACAGTGGTTTTAGGATGACCTCTGAACTTTTTAAAGTCAGTCTTTTCAAAGTAAAACTCCGTGTCTTAGTTAGCTGGGCATTCAGGATCCATTCATAAAATATGTCCAAGAAGTCTTTCTCAGTATTGCAACATCTTAAATAAAATAGTTACTGCATTGCAGTAACTGAAGCAGCCATTACCTACTCCATGAAACTAATATAACTAATATATTAGCCTTTATAACTAATATAAACTATTAAGCTTTACAAAAAAGAAATACAAATTTAGAAGGAGGGGGGTACTGTGTTTCATAGATTCTGCAAAAGTCTTTGATAAAGTACATCACAATGAACTGTTGGCTAACCTTGACATATTTGGAAAAGATATTAAAATAATCCAGAACCTATTCTGTGAGCAAAAGCCCTGAATCATCCTCAAAATTGTTTCGATTTGAGGTCATGAATTAACATATTCTCTCATCTTCAGTGACATTGTCTACTGATTCGATAATATTTTACCAGTCTTCTCTGTCCTCTGAGAGTTTGCTCATTTGTTGCAGATCTTCTTTGATTGTAAACATCTCCAAAGGAAAAGTGGGATCTTTCTGCCCTGTTATTTGAATGTCTCGCTTCAGCGTTGTGACTCTGGTGGTTCTTGGATGACCTCTGAACTTTTTGAAGTCAGTCTTTTCAAATTAAAACTCTATGGCTTTGTTAGCTGGGCATTCTGGATCAATTCAAAAAATATGTCCAAGAAGTTTCCATCTTGCTTTCAAAATGAACAAAGACAAATGATATTCTTGACATCTGCTGTACAAGTTCTTGTTGGAGATATTATGAGGGTACTTTTCCCCTATCAGAATTCGTAGTTGTCGTCTGTGGAAACTGTCTAGCTCCTGCTCTTCTTTCTTTGTAAAGCACCAAGTTCCACATTTGTAGGTTAAAACTGGTTTCACCAAGGAGTTATACAGCGTTAATCTTTTCTTCTAAGATATTCTGTCTTTTCTAATCCAATGTTTATCAATCTTTTCCATTTCGGTCAAGTGATGTTGTTATTAAATAAATACTAATTTTTACAAGAATTGTTTTCATTTTTCTTTTAACTTATAAATAGAATACTTTATAAAATTTTAAAATTTTGTATTAATTTGTACCGGTCAAGTGATGTTGTTATTAAATAAATACTAATTATAAATGGAAAAGCTTACTACAATTCAGTGACACATAGTATTTTAAAAAGAATTTTTAATGTTTTTCCATATTGACGATTGCTAACTGTTTCCTTCTCAAGATGTCTTCAGAATCTTCAATCAGTGAACCAACTTTCTTTACTTGTCTCCATTGCTCTCTGTATTTCTGTCTCCTCTTTCAGTGATGCTGTGTTCTGTTTTATCAACTGGAGATGGCCGGAGTGACAGCCGATGGCGAGCTGAAGATGATGGCCATCTGACTAACTGGATCTGCTGCTGATGGCTGGAGCCGTGGGCCGGCTGTCGGCTACTGAAACAGATAGTACACTTTGATTCTAGTAACCTGGTCCGCGGAAGATGCTAATATTTACCCACTGAGACGAGATGTGACTCAAGGTCGGGGTTAAAATGCATTCCACATTCAAAATTTCAAACGATCACGTGTTGGCTGCTATTTGAAAGCTCAGTTTAGAAAATGATCAACAATATTTTAAAAAAATAGATATTAAAAAAATAGATATTTCCTATTTAAAAATTGGGAAAAATATTCTAAAACTTCTCAATAGGCTCTCTGGAGTGTATTATAAATTGAATCTACGGTCGTAGATAGACGGGGACCCCTAATCTCAGCTAGGTGGAAGGAAGCGAGAACTCCGCCGCCGGACCGTTTTCGCCGCGACGTTGAGGGTCAGGCCACTCAGTTCTCAGACTACCTGCAGGATTTGATTTGAACCAACAACACTCAGGTTTTGAATTCAGAATTGTCCTTCTCCTAGGCTATAGAACCCAGTCTGTCCTGCTATTTACCGATGAATTAGAAGAGGAGGATTAATACCCTTCCCAAGTTTTTTGGGGGAAAGGTATTTTTATTAGCACGTAAATGAATGTAACGAATTCGACTGGAATTCGAACACGGCTCTCCGATTCTTCAATCCGAGCCGCTGTCCATTACTCCGTGCCTCCTATTATAAATACAACCACAGGAATTCGCAAATTTAGTATTCAGTTTTCAGTTTCTTCGGCAAATTTTGTACACAGCTGATTACGCAAACCTTCCGCATGATTAATTACTAGATCATATTTTATCGAGTAACTTATTACAAAAGTCTAGCGATTTTAAAGAAAATTAAGCAAAACGAAAAAAACAACAACATACGAACGGTTTTTTGTAAACAATATGTTAGTAGTAGTTATAACACAGCTAGCTTCACCTGTTGTCATGCTGACTACTAGGAAATTACACGTATTCATAAAACAACGTAAATACGTGACACTCTCTCGTTATATAAACGCATTCTGTTTCTTCTATCATACTAATGCAATTGATTATGTCGTGTTGTAAAGAACAAAAATAAAAATATTTTTGTGAGATCTTTGTAAGGATCTTTGTAATTTTTTTCTTTTTACGCTCAAATTTGTACAGCTGTGTTTGAAGATTGTTTATTTCTTCGCTTTTCACACGCTATCTCTCTCGCTAAGCACACAGATACAGAATACGCCGATTAATGCGTATTTGATTAATGCGTTTTCGATTAGTGCGCTAAAATCTTTATATACCAAAACTCGATTAGTGCAAACATAATAATCGATTAGTGCGATAAAACATTCTTCAGTTTAACCATAGTAATTGAAAATTGATATTTTTATAGTTACCACTTAATTAACACTTTTCTAAAAATTAAAAATGGTAACTATTTTGTCTGTCAAGTATTACGTTATCTAATTAATTACAATAATGTTAAAAACATGGACGATCATAAACAGATGAATTTTATAATATAAGCCGATAATAAAAATACATATTTGAATATTTGTCTCTATTAAAATTTTTTCAATAATTTGATTTTTTTATGTTTATTTTGAAAGTCTTAAAAGGAAATTTCTGTATTTATGTGAATGGGGACATACCCAACATCGCCCGTAGGTATGCTACAACAAACTGCTTAATTAAATTCATTAAGAAAATCACCGTAGTGGTGGTGATATTAAATGACTTCGAAAGACCGCCGAATCCAGTATACGATTGCAGGAGGCCGAAGAATTTATCAACCGAATCGTTATGTGAGAAACAACAAAATGAAGGCACTAGTTTTAAAACTAGATGGAATGAGGAAAAAGGTTTTTATTTCAGAACTTCTGTACATACAAGAAATTCGAAGAAAATTTTCGCTCGTAATATTGTATTAAAAACAATAAAGATGGGGATATCAGTTCGAATAATGGATAGAAAAACGCAAATCCTTTAGGTTAGGGTGGCAGAAAGCAAACGATCGTGTTTCGATATGTTCTAGGGTGTTATAAGATGCGTAACGAAGCTGTGGTGTTTGTATTGGACAGCATAAATGTCACCCGGGCAGATTCCTTCTTTGACAAAATGCAACGTTGGGTAGTCACAGTGGGCTTTAGCCAAGTCGCACCTGGAGAATAAAAAAGAAAGAAAAAAAAAGAAGAAAAAGAAATACAATTTTATAAGTGCAAGAAGATGAAAGGTAAAAAAATTCCCCAGAAGGGACAGATATCCATCGAGGAAAAAAATTCCCAATGGAAAATGTAAGCGTTCTGGGGTTGCAAAGGAAATATTTGTAGCAGATTACTTCCACAACGCAAAGAACAAATCCCTGTAGATTCAGACTCGAATATCGGGGGCAGAAAGAAATGCCGAAAACTCGATTCGCAGGTACTATCACACAAATCACAATGCGTGTAACCAGTCAGAAATATAACTCACTCTCCAACAAACGCGGTAGCCAAAATACACGAATTTTGCTTCCCCGATTCGAGAACACCAACTGCTTTTATCGACCGAGCATTTTTTTCATTCGTCGACAACTGGGAGAGGACGCCCAATTTTTGCATATCAAAATACTTTTATAGAGTCTCCTGAGACGGACTTGTTTTTAATCTAAATATCCCGTCTTCAGCATGTCATGCGGAATACGTGCCCTTTTTTTTTGGTAAGTAATTTTCTTTTTTGGTACATTTTCCGTCGTAGGATACACGCAACGCGCTCTCGCTTGGTTTGACGGGGTAAGTCGCCGTTTTCTTCGCTATAGAAAAATTAAAAACCTGAAACGTGTTGAGGAAAATAAGACAAGATGTTCAGATGTTTTCTCAATCAGATTTTAGCGGTATTGTGGAGTAGCTGAACACCACCACAAGATGGATTTGTCTAAGACTATTTAAACAGTACTCTCTCTTACTGAGGGAGATGGGTTAACGATTACAGTTAACTCAGTTTGTCGATTCTCTGCCTCCGGGCGGAGAGGAACTCAGACGATGCTATGTCGAAGAGTAGAGTCTCGTCTGGAGAGCTAGACCGCTGCCCGACCCCGTGTATGCGGAGTCTACAGGGAATTTTTTAAAAACCGACCTTGTGATACATCCCGCCTCGATAAACTGTTTTATTACATTAGTCTGTGTTCTCAACCGTGTACCATATTATTCTCCGAAATAAACTACTTCTTATTTTTTTTATATGTATGTCAAGCTTTCCTAGTTATGTTACAACAAACGGATATACTCAAAATGAGTTTGGAGGTTAAAATAAAATGTATTCGAACGTTTCTTATTCAAACATTAAGGAAACAATACTTTCGGGAGCTAAAATATGTTTTTTTTTTAATCGGTGTCACCCCAAGCAAGGCAATACCGACACAAGCACGCAAGGAATTACAGGGTGGAGAGGAATTAGGAACAGAAACATCAGTAATGAGTAGAAAGAGAAGAGAACACTCAGGAGGACAGTAGATAGCGATTGACATTGCATTTAAATTTTCGCAGATTAAAGCTGGCTGGAAAGCATGTCGCCGGAAGGGAAGTTCCATAAGTGAGAATGCAATAAAAGGAAATTACGGCTACATCTAGCCAGTTCAAATATAAATTGATGAGATCTTGACGCTTGTCTAGTACCGCGCTTAAATTCATGAAGTCTAGGTACCATAGCGAAGTGCTCATCCGAGCAATTACCATGAAAGTATTTATAAAAAAAAAGGCACAAAGAGGCAACCTTACGGTGCTGGGAAATTGACTGAAGCCGAGCCGCCAGAGCAGGACAAATAATATTGCTGATTCTTCTTTGGATCTTATCAAGGAGCTCAAGATAAATAGCAAGGACACAGGACCATATATGGAAGCAATATTCTAAGTAAGGACGATAAGAGGACTTATAGATATACAAAATATATTCCTGAGAGAAAAACTATCTCGCTCGACACAGCGAACTGATCTTCTTAGCAGCTAACCTAGCAATGGATTCAATATAGTCTTTCCACTTCATGTCAGATGAGAATGTTAACCCTAGAAGGTGCAGTGGGTCCTTATGCTGGAGGATAGCATCAGCCATACTGATAAGATAAAACGACTACTGAGATAACGGCTAAGCCTACACTTAAACAGGTTAGGATTGTAGTGATCGAGGAAGCATCCTCTTGGTAGTGGGTTTCAAAAAAATAGCAGTTCATAGGAAGAAGCTGCTCGAGGGGAAATTACATCTCATCAATGGAATACAAAGGGAATGAGGGTGGTTCGATACAAAATGCGCACATGATGGGTCTTAACCGTAAAGGTTAGAATTGGTGGAAGTGATAGAGCAGCAAACCAATGTAGCAGCCATATTCAATGCATGGACGAATGTCTGTAGCGATTACTATGTTTTTCCACGCCCACATTTTATTCGTCTGCGATTGGCTAATAAATCAATACTGCCTTTCTATAGGACAATTTAGCCATCACAGTCGTTGCTTTGAATTTTTAGGTTTTGAACGTGCTTACTTGTTTCGTTTGTACAAATTTAGCGATTAGTCAATTTTTAACCAATCACATATTTTAGTGCAAAATCAACTTTTCCCGCGGTTTCGCTGGGAGCCTATCTGTAGCTTTAAAAGAGACGACTTTTTCACAAGTCGCAGTAGAGTCCAGCAAATTTCGCCTGTCAACACAAACCTATGACTTTACTCACAACATTTCAAACACACACACAGACACAGAATTTTGTAATACATATATACATATCTCTCTGAAACTCAGCCAAGTTCATTCAACCAGGATTCTGTTAATTTCTCTAAAACAACACACTTTCTGATCAATTGTATTCTTGTGTTATCTATTCTAACAGCAGACTTGTTCTAACATTGATTCCTGAACATTTCTCTCTAAAGAGAACTTTCTTTCAAACAATCAATTACAAATCAAAATACAGTAAAAGGGAAGCAACTTCTTTTCCCTTAATCTATACATTGAATACAAATGATTATATATTTTGTTCTTGTATGTTATTTCAATATATACTTGTTGATTCACATTTGGAGTTTTGTTGAATCATTAATAATACAAAACGTATATGCGCAAAGAACACACATAACATGTCCCTTTTGTCGTAATTGAATATCGTTACCATTTGGCCATTTTTTAAAAATAATTTATGTTTGTGGATATTGCATTCTTTATTTGCAGCACAACTTTAAATATACACGCAGTCTTCCTAGATCCAAAACAATATAAAAAAAAAGAAGATTCGTCATTTACCGCGTTCTGTAAGTTCGACGATCGCTACCACAGGTATAATCTTTGTACGAAGGATCACACATAATTTCTTCATCCCAGTTCCAAGTACAAAAGAATTCTTCGATGATAGGTCTGAAATCCTGGGTGGACAATCTGTGCCTCATCGTCGTCACCGGGGAAGATATTTCTACCGAGGGTGTGGTCATATCTGGCGTTGTTAAATTCACAGTGACGTTTTCTATGCGAGTCACGTCGGGAGTTACATCTTCAGGGCTCGTTAGTTTCGCTGTAGCTGTGGAAAAACTTGTCGGTTCTTCTGTAGTGAATGGGGTTCCTGTTCTTGTTACACAAATGCCCGTGTGGAGCTGTTTAAGGGATTTTTCACGACAGACTGCTTTGGAAAACTCACAACTGAAAAGGAAAGAAAATTGACTTGAAAACAAAAAAGAGAGAGAAACAATGTTGGTAAGCCTTCACTTGAGCGACGTAAAATAAACTGCTATTCTCTGAACGGCGTAAAATAAACTGCTATTATCTGAGCGGCGTAAAATAAACTGTTATTACCTCAACGACGTAAAATAATCTGTTATTCTCTGAATGTTGTAAAATAAACTGCATTTTCTCTGAACGGTGTAAAATAAACTGCTATTCGCGTAACGGTGTAAAATATACTGCCATTCTCTGAACGGAGCAAAATGACCCGCTATTCTCTGAAAGACGTAAAATAAACTGCTATTCTCTGAACGGCATAAACTGCTATTCTCTGAAAGACGTAAAATAAGCTGCTGTTCACCGAACGGCATAAATAAACTGCTATTCCCTGAAATACGTAAAATAAACTGCTATTCTCTGAAAGACGTAAAATAAACTGCTATTCTCTGAACGGCGTAAAATAGACTACTATTCTCTAAACGGCGTAAAATAAACTGCCATTCTCTGAACGACTTAAAATAATCTGTTCTCTGAGTGTTGTAAAATAAACTGCAATTGTCTGAACGGTGTAACATAAACTGCTATTCTCTGAACGACTTCTAATAAACTGCTATTCCTTGAACGGTGTAACATAAACTGCTATTCTCTGAACGACTTCTAATAAACTGCTATTCCTTGAACGGTGTAACATAAACTGCTATTCTCTGAACGACTTCTAATAAACTGCTATTCCTTGAACGGTGTAACATAAACTGCTATTCTCTGAACGACTTATAATAAACTGCTTTTCCTTGAATGGTGTAACATAAACTGCTATTCTCTGAACGACTTATAATAAACTGCTATTCCTTGAACGGTGTAACATAAACTGCTATTCTCTGAACGACATATAATAAACTGGTATTCCTTGAACGGTGTAACATAAACTGCTATTCTCTGAACGACTTATAATAAACTGCTATTCCTTGAACGGTGTACTGTAATATAAACTGCTATTCCCTGAATAACGTAAAAATAAACTGCTATTCTCTGAACGGTGTAACATAAACTACTATTACCTGAACGGTGCAAAATTAATAAGACCAAGGTATATGCATTTAAATACATTACAGTTAAACATTATTACAACGGTTAATGGCGGGAAACGCAGCAAATAAATACTGAAAACATGGCAGTGTTCAGAATTTGTGAAGCTGCAACGGAAAAACGACCCAGAAGTTTCAAACTGTCGCCGCAGTTTACGTTTGACACAGATACAAAGATTTTTCCTCGTTTCGGGAATGGATTATATCATCATCAGGATCCACAACATGCTGCTGATGTATAACGGCGTGGTTTATTTTCTCTTATTCCAGCTTAAACAGTTGAGCTATCTGAAAAATATGGCTTCCTGGCTGAATATACTGTTTATTTACATTATTTTTGAATTTTCAGACTACTGAGCTGTCTTAAAAATAAGAACTAGAGATATCCCCAGACAAGCGTAGTGGGACGAGGTTTATCCCCGTAGATTAAATAAATGGCTCACTTCGGAATTCTCTGGGTTACGCGGATTGATATACAACTGATGAAGGACGGATGGCGGAACAACCGAAACGTTGTGATAAAAAACAACAAAAATTAGGGTAATAGTCCGAATGTAACAGTTGAAATCGCCCACCGGTGGTCGATATCGCCCACCGGTGGTCGATATCGCCCAGGTTGAGAAATTCTGCTCTACATTCTCTTTCCCGTAGACACAACGTTTTAAAATTATGGTCACTCTATCGCTATTTTCAAGTATTCAGATGATCTCCGGTCTTTGTATTCCCCTGTTCAGAGATTTACATATAGGATACATCATTACTACTTACACGGATTAAAATCATCCACATTTCCCCCATATTCCAATTGTAAGTTCTACACAGCTTTCTGGGAGAAACAAAAACACCCAGGAGTATGCTTTCTTTAAACACTATAAACTTCACCGCTTCAAGTAAACAGTTAATCGCTGCATATCCTCCATATCGTCATATTCTTCGCTTTCTTCTACCTCCTCTTACATACATATCACACACCTTATTCAATAACCCTCTATCAAGAGTGGCTCTTGAGCCTTGTGTTGAGCAAAGAAGGCAAGAAATCTTAACCGCTTCATATCAAAGGTCAATCGCTATCCAATATCCTTGTCCTTATAATCTTCACCTTATTCAATAACCCTCTACCAAGAGTGGCGCCTGAGCCTTGTGTTGGGCAAAGAAGGCAAGAAATCTTAACCACTTCATATAAAAGGTCAATCGCTATCCAACATCCCTGTCCTTATAATCTTCACCTTATTCAATAACCCTCTACCAAGAGTGGCGCTTGAGCCTTGTATTGGGTAAAAAAAGCACAAATTTAAGTAAAGTACTTACATATTTGGATAAGTAACACCATCACTCCCACATATGTAATTAGCTTTAAATCCTGTACAATTTATTGTCGTTATTACTAAACAGGAAAGACCTTCGTTCGTCATCGTAGTTTCAGTGGCTGCCAATATAAACAATAAAAAATTAATTTAACATAACATAAATATGGCGAGTTTTAAACAAATAAACATATCTTCACCCAATGCAATAAACAAGAGCCACTCAAGGGAGAGCGTTACTGGGGTTGCTGTATGGACGTAGGAGGAAGAAGTAAGTGTAGATATGTAAGATATAAAACAAAGGACTCTAGACGAAGAGGTTAAGATTTTAATCTTTGAGGAAGCATCCAGGTGGGAGCCTGTTTGATAAAGTAGTGCATCTTAGTAATAAGATGTTTGAGTGGAATTTTCTTCTTACTAATGGTGAAGGACGGTGATTCGAACCCGTGTACGTGGCATGACGGGTTTTAGTTGTGAAGGCCTGATCTGGTAGAACTAAGGAATGTAGCTCGTCTGGACATTTGCCATGAAAATAACAATAGACTAAACTTGTCACGTTTCGTCTGGATGAGAAGGGTCTGTAATTAATCGCCCACAAGGCCGCGTAAACGCTTCTGAACTATCAAGGCTGGAAAGAAAGATTGAGGAAGCTCTAATTCTGATATAGCACAATATTTCCCAACGTGGGGAGCAAGCCCCACCGGTCGGGTATGCTAATATTTTGAAGGGACATGCGTAGGATGTGCACCCTTCGGCTTACTATACCAACAGAATAAGGAGTCAATTCGAGAGTTATTAACAATGAATTGTTTTCTAGGGATTCTGAATGAAAGTGTTAATGTTAATGTGTGTTAATACATACGATGTATATACGGTATGCATACATAAAAATATTTGGTGTGTATGTATGTACATGTGTAATTGGCATATTTCCCATCTCCCCACACTCGCAGATGATGGCATGGCTTTGTGATGAGACAGTAACTAAATACCCAAATTCAATCACCATTGCAAGAAATTTCTTGTTACCATTTCCATCTTCAGCTGACTTTAGTGCTGTAAATGATTTGTTATTGAAGAAAAGAAATTGACTGGATATCACTAAACGAGGAGACTTGAGGCTTAAACTGACTATCCATTACACCACCCGCACATCCAACTTTACAGCTCCTGGTATTCCAAAGCGGTCATCTACACCCCTGTGCAAATTAATTGAAAAGCTTCGGATTTCAGTGTCACAATTCCCGTCCTTTGTTAAAACAATTCCTAGGTATTTAAATCTGTGTACTCAACAGAAATTACATATGTACACAATTTAAAAATACATATGTACACAACAGAAATTACATATGTGCATAGAAAAAATTACATGCGTACGCAACAGAAATTACATGTGTACACAATTGCGTATGTGCAGGTGTGTGAGAGTTCATATCAGCAGCGGATCGGTTGAAACGAAAGTATTCCAGCGGAGACCCTCTTTATATACGTTCGACTACATCTGGATGAGAGGAAGGAAAGAAATGCTTGACTTTTTATGACTTAAAAAGCGCCGCCGAGCGGCGTTTGGCGAAGCCAAGTCGGATAGCCCACAAACGTCGTCAAAACCTGTAAGTACTCGCAAAAGTTTGATGATCTATATATTTATAAAAGTTGCCATGAAAGTCTCGAATGCGAAGTACCCAATGAGGATAGAACTCACTTGTTATGCGAAGTACCCAATGAGGATAGAACGCACTTGTTATGTGAGTTGTGATAACAATATTAAATAGTTGAAGGGATTTCATTGTCCAATCAAAATTTGAAAAAAAGATTATTGTTTTCATTTGTCAAACAAGCTCCCAAAGGAATACTGGAGATATACTCAGGTGTTACTCGAGGATGGTTTAGTCTAGCATAAAATCACATCAATGGTGTTCCCGATGAGGATCGAAGTTACTACAATAATTAATTGGTCTAGAAAACAAGATTACTGAACATTCCACTGTTTTAAGCACATAAACTTACGGATGGAATTAGAGAAAAAACAACTCAAGATAGGTTAGAGATATAAGTTTCTCACCTGAAGAAGTCGTAACCCCTGCGGTAGTCTCGAAACCCGTCAGTTGTGTGGTTGATTTTCTTGTGGTCATTTGTTCTGTGGTTACCTGTAAAGTCGTTCCTTGTTTTGTGTTATGTTCCACGGTGGTCAGTTCTTCTGTGGTAAAGTGTGGGGTCATGGCTTTTTGGGGGCTAGATTCAATAATGGTCGGTTCTCCTGTGGTGAACTGTAAGGTCGTCCCTTCTTTTGAGGTAGGTTTCATAGTGGTCATTTCCTCTGTAGTGAAGTGTGGGGTCGTCGCTTCTTTTGTGCTACGTTCAATAGAAGTTATTTCTTGTGTAGAGAACTGTAAGGTCGTCTCTTCTTTTGTGATAGGTTCCAAGGTGGTCAGTTCTTCTGTAGTGAACTGTAAGTTCGTTGCTTCTTTTGTAGTGGGTCCAACGGATGTCATTTCTTCTGTTGTGAGTTGTGGGTTCGTTACTTCTTTTTGGGTGGTCTCTAAGGTAGTTAGATCTTCTGTAGTGAATTGTAAATCTGTCGCTTCTTTTGTGGTGGGTCTTACTGTGGTCAGTTCGTCTGGGGTGAATTGCATAGTTGTCTCTTCTTTTGTGGTAGGTTCTATGGTAGACATTTCTTCTGTAGTGAATTGGTTCGTCGTTTCTTTTGTGGTGGGCCTTACCGTGGTTAGTTCTTCTGTAGTGAAATGTAAATTCGTCGTTTCACTTGTGGTAGGTTCAATGGTGGTCAGTTCGTCAGTGGTGAAGTGCAAGTTTGTTCTTTCTTTTGGGGTTGTGTCTAAGTTTGTCACTTCTTCTGTAGTGAATTGTAAATCTGTCGCTTCTTTTGTGGTAAGGTCTAAGCTTGTCAGTCCTTCCGTGGTGAATTGTAAATCTGTCGCTTCTTTTGTGGTAAGGTCTAAGCTTGTCAGTCCTTCCGTGGTGAATTGTAAATCTGTCTCTTTTTTTGTGGTAAGGTCTAAGCTTGTCACTTCTTCTGTGGTGAATTGTGAATCTGTCACTTCTTTTGTATTAAGGTCTAAGTTTGTCACTTCTTCCGTGGTGAATTGTGAATCTGTCACTTCTTTTGTGGTAAGGTCTAAGCTTGTCAGTCCTTCCGTGGTGAATTGTAAATCTGTCGCTTCTTTTGTGGTAAGGTCTAAGCTTGTCAGTCCTTCCGTGGTGAATTGTAAATCTGTCGCTTCTTTTGTGGTAAGGTCTAAGCTTGTCAGTCCTTCCGTGGTGAATTGTAAATCTGTCGCTTCTTTTGTGGTAAGGTCTAAGCTTGTCAGTCCTTCCGTGGTGAATTGTAAATCTGTCGCTTCTTTTGTGGTGGGTCTTACTGTGGTCAGTTCGTCTGCAGTGAATTGCATAGTTCTCTCTTCTTTTGTGCTAGGTTCTATGGTAGACATTTCTTCTGTAGTGAATTGATTCGTCGTTTCTTTCGTGGTAGGCCTTACTGTAGTTAGTTCTTCTGTAGTGAAATGTAAATTCGTCCTTTCACTTGTGGTAGATTCAATGGTGGTCAGTTCGTCAGTGGTGAACTGCGAAGTCGCCTCTTCTTCTGTGGTAGGTTCTATTGTAGCCAGTTTTTCTGTGGTGAAGTGCACGTTCGTCGTTTCTTTCTTAGTGAATGTTAACGTAGAAGATTCTGTTTTAGGTATCTCCGAAGTTGGCTTCAGTGTTGTGATTTCTTCCGTATCATGCTTCACAGTGGTGGGCCCCTCGGTGCTAGTGGGTGTAGTTAAGCAGGGGCCTTTGTGATGTTCGTCAAGATTAGAGTCTTGGCACATAGCTTTTGAAAACAAACAACTGAAAGAAAATAAAGACTGAATAACAAATTGAAATCTTCTTTCATCGTCTCAAGCATTTATTGTTAACAAGCCCGTCAATCAACTTTACTACCTCTGTACCAAACAAAGATTAATTATTTTTGAGAGTGCTTGCCGTTGGAAAGCACTCTCGAAATAAGAGGCCAGCTCAAGTCTCAGCCTTTTCTGTTGCATTTCACTTTCTTTTGAAAGGAATGAAACCAAATATTCTTTTTCCTGGGTGCTCTAGTCTAGAAGAAAGACGATAGGAGAATATGATATATAAATTAATAGTAGGTAATCGAATGATAAAATAGAAAAAATCCTGTAACGTGTTTCGTCCTTCGAAAGGACTTCTTCAGACTAAATATAGTGGGTGAGAACGAAGAAATACAAACGTTGGTTATAGCTGTACACAGGGCCGGTGCACCTGCCCAATCCCTGATACAGCGTCTCAGAATCTGTGATACGGGGCCTCCACACTAAATAAAAAATTTCAAAAAGTATTCATGTAAAATACAAATTTTATTGTAACCTAATTATCTACAATAATGGATCATATGCAATATAGGTGAACAATTCAACTAGAAAAAATGAAAATAAATCCAATGTATCTAAATACAAATGAGAGACACGTCATTATAGATTATTCCATCTTAAATAAATCGACAAATTTTTCAATAGTTACAGGCCCGGTTCAAGGATCTTATGCAAGATTTTCCCCCAGTCTATAATACGGGCCCCCATACTAAATACATCTCAATTTTCATAAGATAGTATTCGTATAAAATACAAATTTTATTGTAACCTAATTATGTACAATAATGGATCATATGTAATATAAGTGAAACATTCAACTAGAAAAATTGAAAATAAATCCAATGTATCTAAATACAAATTAGAGACATGTCACTATAGATTATTCCATCTTAAATAAATCAAGAATGTTTTGTAGCCATTTTTACATCAACACGATTTTTTTTCTTTCTTTTTTCCTTTAAAAATTGTTTGACTTCTTTGCCATTTCTTCACTCAAATTGTACCAAGATATCCAAAAGCCGGTGCAAGGGTCGAGTGCCACTCCCCTGAATTTATGATACCCCCACTCTACTACGTTTTAATTTTTCTCATGTAGTATTCATATAAAATACAAATTTTGTTGTAATCTAATTATGTACAATAATGGATTATATGCAAAATAGATGAACAATTCAACTAGAAAAACTGAAAATAAATCCAATGTATCTAAATACAAATTAGAGACATGTCATAAATTAATAATTCCATCTTAAATAAATCAACGATGATTTGCGGCCATTTTTAACATCATACTTGAGATTTGTTTTGTTAAAAAGTTTAAATAATTTTAACACATTGAACATTATGGATAAAAAAAAATAAGGAATTTTATATCGTGTTTTTTTCGAGACATGACATGGGCAAAACAAATTCACAGATTTAGGAGGAAAAAAAAGCTCCCCCCCCCAGAATGACGTCGAAATCCGCGCAAATTTTTTATCCTTTAAAAGTTGAACTTAGTTTAACTTGTAACGTACATAAATGTAGGTATTAGGTTGGTGCAAAAATAATGACGTAATAATGTCGTTTTTTTACGTATGTTTTAACGTCAAAAACGACATTCTTACGTCATTATTTTTGCACCAACCTAATAGTAAAAAGCAAATGGTGATAAGATAGAGATGGTCACAAAGCACTGCCCGGGGCTCCCAAACAGGTTCGCATACCCACCAGACGGTGGGTATGTCGGGAATAGTACATACCAGCCCTGGCTGTACATGGAGAGAAACGATAACGTTGCCGGTACACTTAACTTTAAATTTTAAACTTCCGGGGTTCGACGTGTCTAGACGCACAACCTAACCGATTTCATTCAGGTTTCTACCGGGTTTCATCTTACTCCTTTTAATAGCAGTAGTTTCATTAAGAAAGGTAATGTACTGTATGATCCTGGTCGTAAATTACCTGTGGAAGATTCAGAAATTAGTGCACTTTCTATATATTTTTGTGCTTTAACAAACTACCTTCTCCTTTAATTAAAACTATACTTTAATTCGAAATAAAGGTCACGCTTATTAGGATGAACAACTAAGAAGGACAATACGGAAGCTGTGGAGACTCATGATCGCCTACATTCTGAAATGGCATAACATTAAAAATATTTTTTAAGTTATACTTCTAGTCTTGAAAGATTTTTTTTTATTATTAATAAGCGTTGTTATGGATTAAACATTAGACCAGCTTCTGTTAACTTGGGTAACATCCAGATTAGAAGATGTGGAGACTCGTGGTCGCCTATATCCTGAAATGACATAACATTAAAAAAAAACAAATCCTGAATTAAAAAAAAAACATGGAAAAGACAACAAAAAAACATTTCACTATCTTTCCCAAGAAGTCATGTCAATTCACAGATAATAAAGAAACGGAAGCTGTGGAGAGCCATGATTGATTCATGGCATTAAAAAAGGAAGCATTGACAATAGACTGAAACCTACTCATTGTGATAAGTGCGTCCGTCCGTCCCACAGATAATGTCTTCAACCAAATCCTCGCATTTCCGTGCCATGATTGTCCGACAGAATCTGTTTTTCACTGGGCTGCTTTCTAAGAAAAGATAAAAAAAAAAGCAAAGTATAATGTTCGGGATCGCATTATCTGCAAAGGAACGGTTATTAGCATGGTAAGTTGAAACGGCCGACCGACTTCAAGTTCGGGGCTTCACTTTCACACAAATGTCCTTGAGAAAAATACGACTCCATCACTTACCTATTCGGTTATGCGTCAAATAACAGGGTATGATTTGAGCCTTGAGTAGGGGCCAGTCTAGGAGAAGGAAAATTATGAATTCCAAATTGTGGCTATATCTCTGAGATGAGGTATTATGATTACTTGCATTATTTACATTATTCGGACTGTTATCCTCATCTTCATTGCCATATCCACAACGTTTCAGCCGTTCTACGCTCCGGCTTTCTTCAGGTGATTGGAATTTCGGACCGAACGCTTTATTTCGTCCACCGGGGAAGATTGTTCTAGTTCCACGTGCCTTGCCTCTTCAGTATTGACATTTTAGGTGAGGACATGTTGTCTATTTCTTTGCTTTGATTTGTGTTAAGCGTTTCTGTGATTTTTTTTTCAATAGAGGCAGCTTTTAAGCGATCAACTGATACAGTGTCTTTCTTTTCCTTTTTTTGATTCGTATAATAATGTTCATGTCGCTCCAACACTTTATGTAGATCTGAATAATTTGGAAAGAATGGTTTCTTTACTATGTCAAGTCCTGAGAAAAATATCCTAGTGATTATATAGATCTGCAGTTATAAAAATTGTTTATCACGCATGTAATGGATGTGAAATATGATCGATTCGTCTTGTTTCTTAGTTTGTTAGCAAAGTCTGTATGTAGATTGGTTTAGTTTATTTTGTTTTATAATCTCAATAGGTTATTTAATGCCAAGATTTTTATTGCTGCTAATATTTTCTTCAAAAATATATTTCTGGTAATATTTTTTCAAAATTGTATTGCTGGTAACATATTTTCTTCAAAAATGTATTGCTGGTAAAATTATTTTTCCTCAGAAATGTATTGCTGGTAACATATTTTCTTCAAAAATGTATTGCTGGTAATATTTTTTTCCTCAAAAATGTATTGCTGGTAATATTTTTTTCCTCAAAAATGTATTGCTGGTAATATTTTTTCCTCAAAAATGCATGGCTGGTAATATATTTTCCCTCAAATATGTATTGTTGGTAACATCTTTCCTTCAAAAATGTATTGCTGGATTTCGTGCATCAATCGTGCTGGTGGTCAGATGGAGACCGTTTAGTAAACGCTGAATAAATGATTCCTCTCATACGAGTGTTAACAGAATTTTGACTCATCCTGTATTTACAGCTTGTAGGATATACAGAAATACAAATAGCATCTCTTGAAGTTATAAAATACCAGCTCTGTAAAGTAAGAGTCAAACTGACTAACCTGTTGTCGGTTCCAATGTTGTGGGTTCCAGAGTGGTAATCACGCAGTAGCCTTTATGCAACTCCCTAAGATCTGACTTTTCACACATGGCTTTTGAAAAGGCACAGCTGCAAGAAATATAAACTATTATAATATAAATATATACCGTATATAGTCACATATCATGCAACTTTTGAAGACCTAATTTTGAAGCTAATTTTAAGAGGGTCTCATCATACATGAGATATAAAATTAGTGTCTGTACTGCTGGCCCTGACTACGCCATTGACCAAACTATATATCCATTTACTGTAGTCAAGAAATACAGCTGGATTTACAATAAACATCGCCCGTTACAACGAGTATATACGGTATATTTTCAATTATTAATATCTAGTAATTATTGGGGGATCAGTTTATTACTTAGTAGCAATAGACAAACGACCCCCCCACTTTATTTTCGATAGAAACTAATTGTTTCCAATTATTATGTAGTAATTCTTGGGGGATTAGTTTATTACTTCATAACAAAAGAAAACCGGTCCCCCACTTTACGTCCAATAGAAACTTTAATTACCGTATATACTCGCGTATCATGCGACTTTTGAAGACCTAATTTTGAAGCTAATTTTAAGGGGGTCGCGTCATACATGAGATATAAAATTAGCGTATTTACTGCTAGCCCTGTCTACGCCATTGAGCAAACTATATATCCATTTATTTGAGTCAAAAAGTACAGCTGGATTTAAAATAGACATCGCCCGTTACACGAGTATATACGGCATGTTTCCAATTATAATAATATGTAAGAATTCTTGGGGGATCAGTTTATTACTTAGTAACAATATAAAACGGTTCCCCCACTTTATGTCCAATAGAAACTAATTGTTTCCCATTATTATGTAGTAATTATTGGGGGATCAGTTTATTACTTCATAACAATAGAAAACCTATCCCTCACTTTACGTCCAATAGAATCTTTAATTACCAGATATAGTTACAT